TTAGTAGTTGTTGTTGTAATTTTCTTTATTTTACATGTTATTGATTGATTAAACACAAAAGATAAACCTGCTGTGTTTGAATATCACTTATAAAAGAAGTTCAGGAATAATATTACGAGTAAAACGATTACGGTGTAAAAATTAGTATTATACACAAGAATATTACCAAATCGATCAATATTTATTTCATAATCTTCTTTTATATTAATGTACATAAAAATAGTAACTAACCTGGGTTTTCTCGAGCACAGTATTTCCACCACAAAACACTTCACGAACTTTCCACAAAACACTTCACAAATTTTCCACAAAACAATTCACAAACTTTTCACAAAACACTTCATAATCTTTCCACAACACGTCTGTTCGCGGCAGAGGTTGGATAGCGACTGACTGTTCGGTACTCGAATTACAATAAAGTAAACAACTGTGTGAGTATTAGAACTAGAATGAATGGGTGAATCGACGTCGGATCTGACGTCAGTCGATATCCAATACTTGAAAAAAATATTAATTATTTTTTTTAAATAAAATTTTATAAATTATCCTAGCGCTTAAGAAAATTATTTGATAAATAATGTAACATCTAAGGTAACTTGATCTTTGCACTATTTATCTAATCAGGAAGTTTTCCGGAGGTCTAACTAGATTTTTTTGTTTCCTTTCAGCACGTAGGGTACCTGTGCCTGACGAGAGATTCGATTATCTCTGCGAGTTCCATAAACCTGCTAGGTAAGTGTTTTTAAATCCCAACTAATATTATAAATGCGAAAGTAACTCTGTCTGTCTGTCTGTCTGTCTGTCTGTCTGTCTGTCTGTCTGTCTGTCTGTCTGTCTGTCTGTTACGCTTTCCCGCTTAAACCTCGCAACCGATTTTGATGAAATTTGGCATAGAGATAGTTTGAGTCCTGGGAAAGAACATAGGATAGTTTTTATCCCGGTTTTTGAAACAGGGACGCGCGCGATAAAGTTTTTCTGTGACAGACAAAATTCCACGCGGGCGAAGCCGCTGGCGGAAAGCTAGTAAACAATAATATTACCAGCCCCTTCAGGCATATTTTACTGGTTTTCCCAGGCCTGTTCATGCGCCGCGGTTCATCCACTAGCGATACTTCACCCGTTTTAAAAAAAATATTCACAATGGAAAGAATGAAAATACGCGCGTGATGCGCACGTATGCGCGTTGAAGGCGACACAGTAGCTTCTTGTAAAGCCTGGTCCGTGAGCACGTAGAATTTTGTCCAATGACCCCAAGCTACCCATCATTATCGCTCGCGCGTAATTATATTGCTGTCGCGACTGTGCGACCGGCGCCCGCAGTGAGTGTGCGAGGGCGACAGCAATATAAATACGCGCGAGCAATAAGGATGGGTAGCTTGGGCTCATTGGACAAAATTCTACGTGCTCACGGACCAGGCTTTAGCAGTCATCCCTATCGCATTGGTATCTCGCAGTACCGATCACTGACGTATGTAAACGAAACCATGCTCGATGCTCGACTCTGAGACAAGCTAAATTACACCATATTGTTGACAGCATTGAGTAGATTTTTTTTTAAATACCTTCGTAAAGAAACTTTCTGTACGTAGAACATATTATTATTCTTTGGTTTTACCAACAAATCTGTGTTCATTCTAGCAAAGTCCCAGCATTCTTGAACGTGGTGGATATTGCCGGGCTGGTGCGAGGGGCTGCCGAAGGACAAGGGTTGGGCAACGCGTTCTTATCCCACATCAAGGCTTGCGATGCTATTTTCAATTTATGTCGTAAGTATTTGTCTCTTTTACTGCTACTGATATAGCACCGTCTAGCAAGTAAAGTATCGTTAAGTTTGAAGAGTCAGATAAAAATAGAAACGATAGTTAAATTGAAAACGAATTACAATTTCACGATTGTATTATGTATACCTAACCCCTAAGAGCCAAAGCACACGATGCAACGCTGGAATGGTGTCGCTGCGTCGTCTTACATAAAAATATCTGTAGCGGGCACACAAGCAGTGCGGCATCGCGCAGTGCGATAAGTACAGCGAAATCTTTGCGGCGCAACGCATCGTGAGCTTTGGCTCTAAAGCTTTCAACAATCAGCAAAAGAAGCGAAAGAACAAAGAGAAAGAAACAGATTTGTAACATAAAATTCATACATAGGTGCATTCGACGACGAGGATGTAATCCACGTGGATGGAGACGTGAACCCAGTTAGGGATCTGGAGACCATCGGCGAGGAGTTGCGGCTGAAGGATGAGGAGCAGCTCATGCAGAACTTTGAGAAGCTCGACCGCGTCGTCAACCGCGGAGGCGATAAGAAACTCAAGCCTGAATATGTAAGATTTTCTTATAGAAGTTCTATCTGACATTCGTTCAGTTGCGAAAGTAGTTAAATGAGCCTAATAGCCAATTCCTAATTTTTAAGTGACCCCTATGGTAACACATGACAGGAATTTTGTTTTCATAGGGGTCACTTAACGTTTCACGTTTTCATAGGGATTGATGGTGAAGACGGGCATTAGGCTGCCTTGAATTATTTAAGAGGCGTGAGAAAGCACTGCAGCTGCAGTGACGCCGCTATGGCGAGCTTGCCGCACTACTATTAGTTTTCCGTTGTAGCGTTGCGAGCGACTGCACTATAATATATTTTATATTTCTCCAGGATGCACTTACGAAGATAAAGTCTATTTTGGTTGACGAGAAAAAACACATTAGATTCGCAGACTGGAGCGCCGCTGATGTGAGTAATCTTGTTAAAATGGTATTGTTCTGATCGTTTAATAATAGTCAAGTTCAGTTCTAATAGAAATATTATTATTACAGATAGAAGTCCTGAACAAATACTTGTTTTTGACATCCAAGCCCGCCCTGTATTTAGTGAACTTATCTGAAAAAGACTACATTCGGAAGAAGAACAAATGGTACGCACCTTTTTATTATGTTTTATGATATTTCATATTTTATGTGGATGGTTCTTTTACTTTTTAAAAATTATTTTCAGGTTACCCAAACTCAAAGAATGGATTGATAAGAATGATCCTGGCGCTCCCTTAATTCCATTCTCTGGAGTTTTAGAAAGCAAACTAATGGAAATGGATCCGGAGGAAAAAAAAGCGTACTTGAAAGAACACAACATTACAAGGTAAGTTACCGTGAGACACGACATTAGATTGATGCGTACGTTTCTAGGTATTCGATTTTAATTTTTAACTAATTATTACTTACTTTTTCAGCGCGTTAGATAAAATTATCGTCCAAGGATACAAAGCACTGCAGTTAGAATACTTCTTCACTGCTGGTCCCGATGAAGTGAAGGCCTGGACTATTCAGGTTTGTAAAATGGCTTAACATAAGATTAAAATGTTCATTATCATAAGCTCATTTCATCTAGCCAGCCAGCTTTCTTTTTGTGATCGTCGGGCCACTGAGCATAATAAAGATGACCCACGCTGAACTGTCCCACCAAACTCAATGACAGGGGGCGCTACCATCGTTCAACTATATGGTTTCCAACATGGCAAAAATCGGAACCAGCGATCCGGTATTGACGGTGGCGCCCCACTGTCAATGTCATGCATAGGACAGTTCAGTATTTTGGAACTATATGTCAATGAACGGTGTCCATTGCCCTATTTCAATTCGTAAGCTTACAATATAGTCATAGTCACATAGTCATCATTTTGTTATTTTTATATCACAAATAGAAAACCTTCTCTTAACGTCTCATCATCTCTTGTATTTCAGAAAGGAACGAAGGCGCCGCAAGCCGCTGGCAGGATCCACACTGACTTCGAGAAGGGCTTCATCATGGCTGAAGTGATGCACTTCAAGGACTTCAGAGAGGAAGGCACCGAGGCCGCCTGCAAGGCCGCCGGCAAATATCGCCAACAAGGTAATTATTTACTTGATTCTCACTGACATTATGTTCTACATCAAACTTCAACTTTTTTACAAGTAGTACCGATTATAACTAAATGAGATGCCACATTGTTTAGTTTTACGCGTTATTTTTGAGAGCATTCGATTCGCACTATTCATACCTACCACAATGATAATTTGCGAAGATGCGTGAGCTTAGTGCGATCATAGTACGTTTAGTCCTGCGTCATACTTGGCCCGTATGTCACAGACTACATAAAACCCGCGCATGCTACGTCACATTTGTCACCTCACGAAGCCATGCCAAGTAGCTTTAATAATCTCCTAAGAGTAGTAAAGTTTGGATGTATTTTTTTCCGTCGGGTAATGTGACTTTACTTCATAAAGTTGCATACCCACTGGCCGATCGATGGAGACGGCCTCGATGTCC